ATCTTTCCCTTGAGAGTGGGCAAAGAGAGATTAGGAGTTTGGAAGTATGGAACAATTGGGCAACCAGGAGTTCATACCTGAGATTAAGAGTGTCCAGGTATTTAAGCTCGTCAGCAATACGTATCACTTCGTCCCATGAAGACAACAGGTTTCTTGACAAATCTACGTTTCTAATATCTAAAATCACATGTTAAGAAACTTAAGAAAATTTCAAAAGATTCTCAAATGACTGAACAAACATTGCTACCTCTTAATTCTGGAACTTAGATCTTTTAAATTTCTTTTGATACCATCTATTGTGCTTCAAAATGTTTCATGAGCACATATTACTTTTACCTTTTTAAAATCATCCATTCAGAAACTCAAAAGTTCATTGTCATGTACTGCAAACCAGAAACGAGTATCTACAGTCAAATGAATTAGTACCAAATGCCATCCCCTGAACCATTCTAGAATTATCTAATAAAAAGAGAAAATATTAGTGATGTTCATTTTATTAAGCCCCTGAAGTGTACCCACAGGCCTTGCAGTTGGTTCTGCTTAGCAATCAAACACCTAACAAACACTGACCTTCCTCACCAAGGGGTTAGGATGCATCACAGAAATCCTCAAATCAAGTGCCATCTCAGGGGAGAGAAGGGGAGTGGGCTGAGACAAAGGTTCAAAATTGAGAAGACACACTGGGGCTTCAGAGGGTCTTTCATAGAGGAGTACAGGAACTCAGAGAAGGGCGGTCTGTGGGGCTGAGAAAGGCACTGGCATCAGTGGAGAAGAGTAGTAACTATGGCAGCAGATTGCCCCCGAGAGACAGCGAGATTGGTGGCGCAGAAGCTGGACCCGGTTACCTGAGGATCACACACAGTAGTTTGATATACTGGGAAATTCAGGCATTCCACCAACAGTCAGCAGTCAACAAAACCAAGTTGTAGTTGGGGGGTGCAAGCAGGAGAATTCTTATGGGAATCTGATATACATGGTCAGGGGAGACAGCCTTCTTAGAGATGACAATTGGGCAGAAAACTGAAGTAAATAAGGAAATGCCATCTGGGAGAAGAACATTCCAGGCAGAAGGAATACCAAAGCAAAGGCCCTGAGGTTAAAAAAAATCTAGCCTATTAAAGAGACAGAAACCTCCAGTGTAGAGGAAGGGACATGTTGTAAATGAAGAGACCCAGATCACTCGGGGACTTGCAAGTCCCTCTACAATCTTTGCTTGTCTCCGAACAAAATGAGTAAGTTTTGGAGGGTTTTGAACAAAAATCTGATGTGGCCTGACTTGTTTGGAAAGTTCTCTGCTGCTGTGGGGAGCTGCAGATGGCAGGGGACAAAGGCAGTGAGGAGTCTTGGTAGCACTTCAGGTTTGCACCAGATGGGCAGTACCAAGGTAAGCAGCAATGCTAGATCTAACATCCCAATCCCAAACTGGAGCTGAAAAGATCTGTCCACAGATTTACATCTGGGATGTGAAGAAAAAAAGAAGAGTCAAAGATAATTCCAAGGTTTGCACCAGATGGGCAGGACCAGAGGTAAGCAGCAATGCTAGATCTAACATCCCAATCCCAAACTGGAGCTGACAAGATCTGTCGACAGATTTACATCTGGGATGTGAAGAAAAAAAGAAGAGTCAAAGATAATTCCAAGGTTTGGGACTCTGCACAGTTGGAACTGTCATTTACTGGCAAGAGTTTCTACCACTAATAGAATAATGATCCCCAAAGAGAAGATGTCATATCAAATAGAAGGAAAAATTTAAATGAATGCTGGGCACAGTAAACACATTTGATGTCGAATTGGTATTACTCCTCCATTGACACTGCTCCACACAACCCTCACAGTTCCACACAACCCTCACAACTGCACACAA